CAATGAAGAGAAGCCAGGATAGGAGAGATATGATCTCTCTTAAAGTTTCATCAGAACTCTGGCTGCTGCTTCTGAAGGTACTATAATACTCATATAACCTCTTATAACAAAGTTATGCAGAAAGAAGACAACAGACAACCAAAAGACAAAAGTTTGAAGGTAAATACTTAGCTAGATCCTGCTTGATAGCTACTCAGTTATAGCTTGGGGCAGCAGACGTGCTGTTTACCTCCTCCAACCTTTAACATCAGTGTTGTGCTGACACAGTTCACACTCAAATATTAATTGCTGCGGTTACAAATCCCCTCTCGGTTAAGAAGAGTCGGGGGAATGTGCTGTCCTAAGCAACACTTAAAGATGAGTGTGAAACACGAAACACCTCATGTATTAGTCTGAGTGACACGTGAGTAATTTTCCCTCGGCTGTGTGAGGGCTGAGGACCCACAAGGAGTGGAAGCTCTCCTCAGCACCATCGGATCTGTGTCACTTCACAGCCTAAAACTCAGGCTCCTCTACTCCTCTGAGAGCTTTAATGCAGGCCGTCATTTCTCAACCATCCTCTCTGCAAACACCAGCATCAGCATCACCGTCGGGTTTTATTCATTGCTGTAAAGTGGATTTTTGAAATAAATGCTCCCCATGAATTAACCCATAAAATGCCAGCACATGGCCCTTGGGATTTATTTATTTTTGTCTGCGTCCTCATTTGCCACTATATGCTTGAAATAGATGTTCCAGAGTTACTGTAGATGATTGCTCCAGGAGCCAAAACCCAAGGGGCTCACTCCCTAAGAGGCCCGATCCTGGAGGCCATAGTGCTGGGGTCCTACAGGGCCGTGCAACTAGCCCATGGTTCACGCCTCCGAAGGGATCCAAAGCCCAGGGGCACACAACCCTCGACAGCCACTAGCAATGAGGCAGCATCCAGTGGTGTATCCAACCCCGTACTTAGAGAGCCATCAGTTTGCCAGCAGACACCTGTCACTGGTGGGGAGCATAAGAAGGGAGAGGAGGGAGACCCTGCTCATACTTGGGGCCTAGGATGTTCAGTGAGGCAGGGGAGGAAAACTCAGTCTGATAAGAAGACAAATTCACATTGATCCAGTCACATTTTCACCATTAAGGACACGCATAAGGACTCAATGGAGATGCACACAGAGGCAGACACTAAACATAATCATCCACTGGGGATCTCCTCCCGGGTCTGGGGGCCAATCCCCCCTAGGGAAACAGGC